AAAGCACCACGCGATGCGGTGACCACCGCCTTTGTTTGATGGCCAGCAGCTGATAGGCGCTGTTGCTGCTGCTGCTTCTGCTGCTGCTGCTTCTGCTGCTGCTGCTTCTGCTGCTGCTGCTTCTGCTGCTGCTGCTTCTGCTGCTGCTGCTTCTGCTGCTGCTGCTTCTGCTGCTGCTGCTTCTGCTGCTGCTGCTGCTGCTTCTGCTGCTGCTGCTGCTTCTGCTGCTGCTTCTGCTGCTGCTGCTGCTTCTGCTGCGATGACCGGAATTCGCGTGATAGTGGTTTATGATCCTTGACAAGATCAGCAGCGAGGTGGTGGGGGTGATGATGGTGACGGTAAGGGGCCGTCCATAAATGACGTCACGCGATTTTGGACGATTTTTTACCCCCCCCCCTCTTCGTCACACGACGTCACAAAAAGTCAGACCCCTCCCCCCCCCCCCTCAAATATGACATTGAGAATCTTGTGCCACTCTTTCAACTGCCGCGCCAGGAGATCGAAACGGCGGATGGAACTGGTGACCTCTGGTTTGCAAGTCCGGTGTGCGAACGCTTATGTCGTGGCAGCGTCCCTTTAATGGTAATAGGGGCGTTGCGGTGGCTATGAGATGTTAACTCCCTCGCCTAGTATGCAGGAGGTCGGGCGTTCGAGCCTGACGCCTGCTGCTGCTGTATTTAGAGTTTGCGATGTCTCTGTCATCACCATCACGGTGGCTAGGAGATGTTAACTACCTTACCTGGTCTACAGGAGGTCGTGGGTTCGATCCCGGCCCTGACCGCTGCTGCTGCTGTATTTGGAGTTTGCGTGTCTCTGTCATCACCATCACGGTGGCTAGGAGATGTTAACTACCTTACCTGGTCTACAGGAGGTCGTGGGTTCGATCCCGGCCCTGACCGCTGCTGCTGCTGTATTTGGAGTTTGCGATGTCTCTGTCATCACCATCACGGTGGCTAGGAGATGTTAACTACCTTACCTGGTATACAGGAGGTCGTGGGTTCGATCCCGACCCTGACGCCTGCTGCTGCTGTATTTGGAGTTTGTGATGTCTCTCTCCCCGTGGTCGCGTGGATTTTTTTTTCCTCCAGTTCCTCCGGGTTTTCCTCCACATTTAGAAACATGCGTTTAGACGATTTAGATTATGTGGCTGCTATACATTTTCACATGATATGCCACTTAGTTGAGTTTTCATATGTGACCAGGTCGCTTCTAAAAAGAAGCTCAGTGGGCTTTACCTGGCAATATGAAAAAAGTGTTTATTTGTGTATTGTTTTAATGACATCCTTACGTTTCCTATACTTTGCACTTCCATCGTGTTTCTGTATTGTTTGTTGTTGTAACGTTCTGATCCAGTGCACCGACTGGACAAAGAGCCTTATAGCTCATCGGATTCTTCCTGCAGTCTACATACAGATTCTGATTCTGCACGTGGTTTTTGTGCAGGCGGTAAGGGCTCAGCTTCAGCCTGCGTGTCTGTGCCACTGCCAACCACGGTGCAAGTCATTGCAATATTATTCAGAGTTAAAATAACGTCTTGTTAACTCACCATTGGGCAGACGTGGTTTGGTGAGTGCACCCTTTGTCAAGATGCTGGCATGTTTCATTCCATTAAAAAACCTCGTTCACGCGGCTTTCAGTAAGCTCGCCTCTGAAGTCGAAACGCGTCCCCTTTGTCAATGCGTTTGATGTGCTAATAGTTGACCTTCATTCACATCCTCACGGCGAGATGAAGCGGGCTAAGGTGACACGACGAATCCACATTTACAGCCTGATTAACTATCCCGGCAGTGCAGCGATGCGGCGAAACTCATTTTTCAGCTTTTCGGGCATGTGACACTCCCAAGGCAATACTGCGTTCTCGAGAGACGCCGTGGCTTTTAGCTTTGCCAAGTCGATGGCAGTTCGGTTGGGCTGAACTTGGGGACGCCTCTTAACTTATTAACGGTTGCGTGGCGTGACATTTCCCATTAAAGGGCCCTGCCAGAGTAAAGCCTAATGAAAACAACTTAGTTTCTGTTGAATATTATCGGTCGAGCACTCTCACTGTGCGTTCTTGGGTTGTACCCGCGTGTCGTTCGGCACGATGTACCCACGTGTCCTTCGGCACAATCTACCCACGTGTCGTTCGGCACGATCTACCCCGCGTGTCGTTCGGCACGATCTACCCACGTGTCCTTCGGCACGATCTACCCACGTGTCGTTCGGCACGATCTACCCACGTGTCCTTCGGCACGATGTACCCCGCGTGTCGTTCGGCACGATCTACCCCGCGTGTCGTTCGGCACGATCTACCCACGTGTCGTTCGGCACGATCTACCCACGTGTCGCTCACCACAATCTACCCACGTGTCGTTCGGCACGATCTACCCCGCGTGTCCTTCGGCACGATCTACCCACGTGTCCTTCGGCACGATCTACCCACGTGTCCTTCGGCACGATCTACCCACGTGTCCTTCGGCACGATCTACCCACGTGTCCTTCGGCACGATCTACTCACGTGTCGTTCGGCACGATGTACCCGCGTGTCGTTCGGCACGATCTACCCCGCGTGTCGCTCAGCACAATCTACCCCGCGTGTCGTTCGGCACTGTCGGCCACGTTCCTGGTCGCCGTGAGCACCTCCAGCTTTACCACGTGACCCTACCACCGTTACCATCGATCCCGAGCTGTGTGTGATGGGCCACTGTTATGTGCAAGAAGATTCAACGAAGCGTCCGTTTGTTGGGCCCCGTCTCCAGATGCCGACCTCCCCCTTGGGTCGGCGAGGTTGTACACCGATGATGTTGTTGTTGTCCTTCCCCCGCACGTCCGATTAGCATGGTTGGCTATGTACGATGTGAAAGCAGTTCAACATACACACATACATAGATGCTGCCTCCCAACCCAAACGTTCTCTGCGCATGCCCCCTCAGCCTCCCTGCCGCTCGAATTTTCTCCCCCAAACTCATGGCTTCGTTTTTCTCTTTTTGTTGGCCGGTGTTATTGTTCGTGCCAATGTCCATCGCTCTCTTTTTTTTTGTTACAATAACTCAAAATTCGTCCACGGTATCCATCACGATGATGCGCTGTATTGAGGATAAGGTTAAAACATTCCACCGTGTGGAATGTTTTTTTTATTATTATTAAAGGAAACACCACTACAAGAAACAGCCCAACTTGTGGAGTACAATAAAACACGACGCACTGGAATCGTCTTTTTATAAACCCCCCCCCCCCCAAAAAAAAAATTGGCAGCTGAATTTTTTTCCCTCAATGCCTCAATCCACGCTGACGTCATACGTACAGCTCACAGACAATGCACTGGCAAAGAAGGGATCCACGATGTAGATGCTCACCCCGAGCTCTCAGTTCGCCTTTTGGCGTCCTCGGGTCTAACACCGTTTGAGACGAGGCTCAAAAGAAAACTGTCTATGGTGTGGACCAATCAGTTTCAAGGACAATGCCGCATATATTGATTTTAAGCTTTCGTGACTGCAGGAATCCATACTCTTTGGTTCTTTCGGTAAAGTCACGTAGGTATGAAATAAAATATATAAAATATTATACCTACGTGACTTTACCGAAAGAACCAAAGAGACTGCATATATTATCAGAGTAAGTTTTTGTTTGCATTCTGAGCACAAGTGTTGTGGTTAATGCAGACATGATTTCTAGCAAAAAGGTTTCAGTTTTGTTGCCAGATAAAAAGGGGAAAACCTATTCTTATATTTTGGTACTGGCACAGGAGATCTCATGATGTAGATAACAAAAACATGTTTGCAGCGACAACAATAATAACAACACCGTTTTTTCCAACATCTTCAGTTTAATTTGTTGTATGTTAATACAATTCCTGTAATGTGCTTGTGTTTAATATCACTACATTTTACGTTGGCAAACAATTGATACTGTTCATTATTACCCTTGTGTTGTTGCGTATATGTGCGAGTGCAAAATAATTTTAATTCTGCAATAATGTGTTCAAGATAAACACACGTAAAAATATAATCGCCTGTAACAGACTGTTGGGGCAAGTGCTGCTATCGAGTAGCACCTATGAAGGCCGGCCCTGTGGCACACCTAGGTGAGGCCCAAGACCGGTTCAGATAATCGTCACCAGTGTTGGGCCTTGAGCGGGAATCGAACTCGGGTCACCAGGCTCGCCAGGGTCCGTAGTGCAGCGCACTAACCGCTACCCTACCGCTCCCCACTATGTACACACACACACACACGCAAAGACTAAGATCCCCTAAATTTGTCTTACAACACACTGTTCGGGCAAGTGCTGTCAGCGAGCAGCTATTAAGGCCGGCACGGCTTGACACGTGGAGGTGGGTGACCAGCACCACGCCAAGCCGCCTTTATCTCCCCAGTGCTGATGTTTACACACCGCACGAAGTGCTCGTTTTTAAGGCTGAGCCGACCTGGGGGGGGGGGGGGGGGTGCCTAGGACCATGTCTGATATTCATCACTGGAGGTGGCATTGAGTGAGAATCAGAACTCGGGTCGCCGGGTTCATGGTGTATGGCGCTAACCACTGCGCCACCGCTCCCCCACACTCATTAACTCCCCACATTGGCATGCACGGCCGTCCTCACACCTACATCGTTTACAATTTACATGCGCACACGTTCGTGGCACAACTCTTGTAATAAAGCGTGTGCTACGGCCTTGGCTGTTAGGAACCCGGTGGAATATATCAATTGATGATGTATAGCAGGGTTTTCTCTGTGTGTGTGTGTATGCGCGCACAGAATAATATAAAACACATTCTCCTGCGGAGGGAGCTGGGTCGGAACGTTGGGTTGCTCGGTCAATGGCCAGGGTCAACAACGGCGGCACCACGTGGTGGATTCAGCACAATGTGCCCGACTGTGAGGGCGGGCACAAGCCGGCGTGAGTAGGTGAAACGTTGAGTTTTATAAGGGCACCACGGGGTGACCAGCCCCTCCCCACCCAGCCCCTCCCCTCCCACCCCCCACCCAGCCCCTCTCCACCCTCCCCTCTCCACCCAGCCCCACTCCTCACATTTTTGGATGCACGACGGACGGACGGACGACGCCGACGCCGCCGTCCGCCGTCTCGAACCTCCGTCTCGTCTCCATTTCGTCTTCGTTTCAACTCCGTTTCGTCTCCGTCTCTCTCGTGCGGCCCATCGCGGGCCCCAAGGCCGCGCGACGTTCCCACAGCCAAGCGAGGCTCAGCCGCGCCTGACATTTCTCTCCCCTTGTGCACTGCCCCCCCCCCCCCACCGTCTACGCTTTGCCCTACTAATTCGTGTTTAGTGTACAATTAATGCGCACGGATGCACGCGCAGTATCGCAACGCTGCGTTGTTATTTTTCATTCTGTGCATTTCACGTGCAGGTTATACTCAACGCTAACAAAAAAAATATTCTGTCATTTTTTTACATTAGAAATACTTGATGTTTTTTTATTTATGTTTGTGTTGATGTCGGCTTGTAGGGTAAGGTAAAACAACAATGGCCGGGGTGGTTGGGTGTCTTATTATGAAACCGTCACACAAACAAACCCCTCGGGAGTTTTTATTTTTTTTTAATCAAATTTGCCTTTGAATTTTCGTATCGCGGATTTTTGCCAGATTGAGGATATTTTCACTAACGTGAGGCTTTGCCGCGACCGGCGGATTAAAATCGCGCCGTCAATTTGGACTGTAAGGGGAAGACGTTTCGCGGAGCAACCCCGTCGCAGGAGCAAACTTTGAAAACAACGATAATCGCGCGACGTAACGATATTCCTGCAAACAACCTTGTTTAAATTGTATACGGTATCTATATATAGCGATGTCGCCAAGTAGCGTAAATTAGTTTAACGAGAAGACGCAGCGGGTGGGTGGGGGGGTTAGAACGTTCGTCACGGCGAATGTGTCCGGCCATGAATATTTACGATGGCGTTGGTGAAATTTCTCGCGCAAAGTTGCAACTTTCACAAGCCGCTGGTTTATAGGCAGGCCCGTGCCGACGCGATCACCCGATGTTTCCCACTTTAGCCCAGCATCTTGTTTGACATTGCAAATGAAACTCGAGTTCAATCAGTCACCACTCTAATAACCCGGTAAACATGCCAACAACGTCGGCCCAAAAAAACGTTGTTTTGGAACCATCGGACGAACGTTGGCCCAACGTTGTACCGTGTTTTAAGTTCTCTTTGTGTTTTTTTTTTTTTACAGATGATGACATGATTCAATACGAGAGATATGGCTCGCGATGGCTGGTTCTCTCTGAGCACTGCACCTCCTGCTGGAGTTGACTGCACGCAAAAAGTCCGTCACGTTAAGTTTGGTTCTGTTTTTCAATTTCTCTGGGTACAAGCTCTGAGAATGATGAATATCGGTTGGGGGGGGGTCATTGCGGCGAACAACATCACTCTCAGTGGCGGGATGAGTGGGAAAGCGTCGTCCCTCAACTTTGTGGACGGGAGGTCACTAACAAGAATCTCAGAGGCAGCTCTGCGACATCCACTTCCGAGGGCAGATCTATAACGCGCAGGGATGCACTGCTCTGTAGGAAATCCTAATTAATGATTCGTCATGGAGAGTACAACCTGGATAAAATTGGCCGCTAATTGTTTTTTTTTTACAATTTTGTTATTTTAGCGCGTCGAGGCCTGGCGGGACGAGGCCTGGCACGTCGAGGCCTGGCGCACAGCTAACCGGGCTGCATGTGAGAGACAACTTGGCGGAATGCATTTACAAATGACAACAAAATAATCGTTTACGGTGTTTAGGCAGCAGTGTCACAGCCAGCGGGGGGAAAAAATTGTGTCACGCACCCATGATCGCCACACATGGAAATAATTTCGCCTTTTGCTGTAGGGGCTGGCTAGAGACTACACCAAATTACTCTTGTCAGCTGGAGAAATAAGGCTGCAGCTGTAACTTCCTTATAAAGGCAGTTATGGTTGGACGATTTTTTTTACTGCTTCCTGACCCTGATAAATGACGTTTGATGATGGTGGTAATGATGATGCTGGCTCATATCGGTGGCTACGGTGGTGAACGTGGACGTTGCTTGTTTTAATCTTCACCGAATCCTGCCACCTATGTGGACTCAGGACTCCACAATAGCTGGCCCAGACATCTTACCGGTTGCCCAGACATCTTACCGGTGACCCAGACATCTTACCGGTGACCCAGACATCTTACCGGTGGCTCAGACATCTTACCGGTGACCCAGACATCTTACCGGTGACCCAGACATCTTACCGGTGGCCCAGACATCTTACCGGCGGCCCAGACATCTTACCGGTGGCTCAGACATCTGACGGGTGGCCCAGACATCTTACGGATGCCTCCGGTGAAACCAGGGTTGGTCCTCTAGGAGCTCACTGCTATCCCTGGGTGGCATGAGGATCACACAGTTGGCTCAGGACGTACACCGTCGTGGGCGACGGCACCCTTGCTGCCGCGCGCGCGTCACCGTGCGGTCGGCGACTGTGCCAGTGGCCTCGTACAAAATCCACGAATGCCGAGGACACGGAGGAGGAGAGGTATGACCTCCACGAGGCCAGGTGCGCTAAGTGGCGACTGGTCGGATCTGAGTCCACAGTGTTCTGCCGTTGCCCCTTGTGCTTGTGGTTGTGAATGGCAGCCGAGCCGGCGTCTCTGTCCGTGGATACCACGCGGAAGCAGCAGCAGCGGCGGCGGCAAGCGGAGCCGGGACCCAGCGGCACGGAGAAGAAGCCGTAGACGACCGGGTCGATGCACGCGTTGAGCAGCCCAAAGAGGAAGAGGCCGTGGCTGACGGCCTCGGGGATGTGGTCTTCGGAGGCCATGGCGGGCCTGATGCAGTACCACACGCCGAGCAGGTAGTACGGCGTCCAGCACACGATGAACGAGCTCACGATGAGCGCCGTCATGCACAGCGTGCGTGCACGCGCACGCGATAGCGTGCTTGGCCCATGGTTGCATGCGCGCATCTCCCTCAGCTCCACTGTGGGGACAGGGGACACCGGGGGATGAGGACACACAGGGACACGGGCATACAGGGACATGGACACACGGGGACAGAGGGGGATGAGGACACGGGGAGACAGGGATGAGGACATGGGCGACACAGGGGCACGGTTTAGTTTGAAGGCGTGGGGAGATCTACACGGTGGGATTTGTCCGGGGCCCACACCCCACTATGGACGGCCATAAATGGGGGTATGGGGGCATTGGGGCATGAAGAAATGAAGACGATTGGGTACATTGAGATTCGGCGACACACAACACAAAGGTTATAAGGGCATAAAAGATATTGCTCGAGAAGGCAGGACATACACACGGGTATCAGGGGCATGGCGGCACAGAGACAAGGGCAGCACGGAGCATGGGACACGGGGGGGGGGCACAATTGGGCACGGTGGCACTGGGATGAGAAGACATGGCCATGGGATCGCAGAGAAAGGGATTCCAAAATTATCCTCCGTTCCATGATAACAAAAACAACGCCATGGCTGAGAAGATGCCATGAATTTTAAGTGCCTGAATTAACTGGAAGAGTCACAAACTCTACAGCATAATAAACTACTTACCATTCTGGCATGGTGCACTCGATAATTATTGCAATGTGCTAATGATGCAATTGAACCGATACCGATGCCCATTCATAAATGCACTTATTTTAGTTAATCATCACTACCATAATTCGCGTACATTCCCCTGCAGGACCCACATTTACGCACACACAAACTGCTTACGTTGAAAATGAGTGAGTTTTATTCTTTCACTTTTTTATATTTTACGAATTAGAGGGGGGGAAAATGTAAATGGCATGCGGCGGGGACATCGCGCCTCCTCGCATCCCGGCCGCCCATCCGCGTGCGGGCGTGAGTCATAAATCGCGGGCTCTTACGGGGAGGGAGCATCGCTCGTACCACTGGTGCCACTTCCATCTCATCATCACCACCACTCACACGCAGACAAAGGTCCCCCGTATAGCCTTAACATACTGCTGGGGAAAGTGATGTTAGCGAGTAGTAGCACAACTGTTAAGGCCAGCACGGTCAGGACCATGCCTGGCCACCTTTGCTTTCACAGTGACAAAAAAAATGCGGCCGGCACTGGGGAGGCCCAGGACCAATTAAAGTAATCGTCAATGGTGTTGATGGCCGTGAACGTGAATCGGATTCGGGTCGCCGGGTTCGTAGCGCAGCAAACTACCTGATACACTACCGCACGACCTTTCACACATACAAAGAAAGATCCCCCATAAAACCTGAACAGACTGTTGGGGCAAGTGATGTTACCAAGCACCTATGAAGGCCGGCATGGCACACGAGGGGGTGGGTGGCCAGCACCGTGCCCGGTCAACTTTGTAACCCAGTGGCGATATTTACACACCGCACCAGGTACTCATTTGAGGCCGAGTCGACCTAGGAGAGGCCCAGGACCGGTTACAAAAAATCGTCAATGGTGGTGGTGGCCGTGAACGGGAATCGAACTCTGGTCGCCGGGTTCGTAGCGCAGCAGAGCGCTAACCGCTGCACTTTGACACACGCGCGCACTCTCTCGCCCATCCACTGCCTCTCGCCCGCTTGCTCTACTGACCGTTCTTGACGCGGCGCGAGATCTGCAGCAGGATGTGCCCGTAGGAAGCCAGCATGACGACGAGGGGCAGCAGGTAGAGGCACGAGAAGGTGAACATGAGGTAGCACACCTCGTGCCAGCGCCGCGGGAAGCTGCCGTGCGTCACGCACTGCGTGAAGCTCTCGGCCGACGGGGCTCGCGCCACGTGGAAGAGGAACAGCTGGGGACAAAGAAGGACGAGAGGCCCCGTCAACGCAGAAGTGGCAGGTACCGGACAAAGATCCCCCGTGTAGCCTTGACACACTACTGGGGCAAGTGCTGCTAGCGAGCGGCACCTATCAAGGCCGGAACGGCACACAGGAGGAGGTGGGTGACCAGCACCACGCCCGGTCACCTTTGTCTCATGAGTGGCGACGTTTACTACGCACCACAACGGGTATTCATTTGAGGCCGATTCGACCGAGGGGAGGAGGCCCAGGACCGGTTCAGTTAATCATCGCCGGTGTTGTTGGTGGCCATGAACGGGAATGGAACTCGGGTCGTCGGGTTTGTAGCGCAGCGCGCTACATTGCTGTACCACCACTCCTCCGTGATGTAAACCACGCACGCACGCATTGTGACATTGTGTCACGATGTCAGTAGCAGATTGAGAGGCTTCCCAAGGAGAGGGAGGAGGGCAGTTCTGGAACGTGAAGCTTTTAAATAGGGGCCTATTTTAATGAATACGTAATTCAATGTATGTTGTACAGAAATTATTATCAATACCTGTACAATGCTACATTTTGGAGTCTCAAGGCGTGTGGGGTGGCAAAAGCCCCCATCGTGGAAAGCTATTATTCCTATAGCCGGGGCACGTATATCTATTGGACAACCACCGTTAACTCCCCCACGAAGTGGTACATATTTTATCGACCCCGGAGAATTGATGGCCTGAGTCAATTGCCCCAGTCAAGATGTAAACTCACAACCTTCTAATTGCGAGCCGCTCGCTCTACCGCCGAGTCACCAGGCTGGCTATAGCAGCAGTCACAAGGACATCATCACCATCATCATGGTTACCGTATTTATAAGAGTACCTGGGGTGCCACGTTGGAGAGATGTTAACTACCTCGCCTAGTTTACATTAGGTCCTGAGTTCGATCCCGACCATGACGCCGACTGTACATTGGAGTTTGCAGGTCTCTCCCCGTGATCCCGTGGATTTTTCTCCAGGTCCTCCGGGTTTTCCCTCCAAAATTAGAATCAACATCACGCATTTAGAGTATTTGGCTGCTATAAATTTCCACATTAATAAGCCACTTTTGTTGAGCTATCATGTGGCCAGGTCGCTTCTGAAAAAGAGCTATATAGCTCAGCAGGCCTTACCTGGTAAAATAAAGTATAGTTTTTACACTACTTCCGTGCAGTAATCTCGAGGTACAGGGACCATGGGAACATTGGAGATAACCACTTAAATAATTACTGGGCACGGACGTGAGTGCAGACCAAACACAATGTCCACAGGACATACAGGAAAGATAATACAAAAACACATTACAATAAACGACAGTGAGTTATTCGCGCGCTAATTTAATTAGTTTTGAAACTGATTATTGTGGGTTGCATTCACATTAATTCTGAGTAAGCTGTTCCTCAACTCTGGTGCCGAAGCACCAAATTGACGAACGTGAAAAACCAAACCACTTTGGCTGAAACATCAAAAGTGCTTAGAAGACTTTGTCACTCATCCACAGTTAGCACGGACAGAGACACTGTAGTTGTTCACATTGGGGTCTCTTGGCCGCAGTGGGGACCGCAAGTGGTGGCATCTGTCAGTCGATCTATAACCACCCAGGGCTCTGCCCCCTCATTAAACACATCACGTGGTGCTGCTGCTGCGTTGACAGCGGTGCACAATGCACAAAGACGAATCTCAACACACCCACCAACTGTACTGTGGCTTTAAAATAAACTAGCATCTTTGCCCGTCCTAGGACGGAAAGCTGTAATATTTACGAAAAAATCGAGCAGAGTACAATTGTGTCTTGTGTAAATTTAATGGCAGTGAATTGTGCACAAAAGTATGCCATCAAACACTTCACTGCATTTCACTGTAGCACTGTATTAATGGCAGTGATTCTGGCACAAAACGAAGTCATAAAACACCTCACTTCATGTCACTGTAGCACTGTGTATTAACTGACCTTCAATTTGTTCAAATTCACTGCTCTCCGATACTTTATTCTCTTCTGCTTTCGGTCGCTAGGATTGAAATAAATTGGAAATCGATACAATATCTGGAAAATCACCGATAAATGTCAATTTAACCATAACGTACAAACATAAATTAGACTTGCCTTTTGTCTCGAATGCTGAAGAAATAAAGACACCAAATCCACTTTGTTGCTGCGTAGAATTATTTATTAGATTCACATTCAATGAAGAAACGGTCAAACAAAGCGAATTTGCAAAAGAAAATGTATTTCCGCTCGACCTGCGTGAGTCTAAAAAAACCACCCGCTCATGATTATTTTACTATTAATGACGGGGGGGGGGGTGCGACATGTGGACTGACGTCACACGCGTTACACACATTTCTGGGCTATCATAGTAGTGATTTGTAATAGGTGACGTTAGGGGTACGAGTTGTGGCCGTTACTTCACCTGTTGTGTTTTTATATTTCAAGGCAGTGTTGTTGACGAAGTGTTCGCGGGTCCCTTCCGTCACTTGCGGGCCATCGGCGACTCACTTCACGTGGCTTCAGAGTAAACCGAGCCTGGCGCAAACTCATACATACCGTACATACATGTGTGCGCATGTACGGTATGTATGAATTACACTGTGTAACAAAAAAATCCTCGTTTTCTGTTCCTGGGTAGTAAGTGTTACTTTCCAATTGTTTATGCCTCAAAAGTACAGAAAATGGATATTTTTCCCCACAAACTTTGCTTCTGTGACCAGGACAGTGGTATTTTAAAATTGACCTATTTTCAATGAGAAAACGTGGTGTGCATTTGTGTGATTCCTTCACATAAAGTCCTGGTTACAAAAGCAAAGTTTGTGGGGAATAATAATAATGATAGCCATTTTCTATACGTTTGAGGCATATGCAATAAGAAAATAACACTTACTACCCAGGAACAGAAATCATGTTACGTAGTGTTATAATTACAGACTATTGCTGGACAGTGACAAGAGACGCTCCAATTAATGAATACAAGAGACAAGCCAAGAGGCGCCGAGTAGATGCTGAATAAGGACTATGTACTTATATAGACATATAAGTTGTTTGCCTTTAGTTTCAAAATGCATTTTATGTATGTAACCCCTTTGCTGATTTTTTTTAAGTGTTACGTGAACAGGACAGGTAACATGTTATCAAGCAAAGCAACCATAAACACATGAAAAGACCTAGGTTGACAATTTCTGAGTAAAACTCTACACAAAACACATAGAAGTAAAATGTAAAAACTTAAATATCTTGGGAACAGTAGGCATATTTGAATTCAGCACATTAAAATCCATAACAAACGGCACATTGCAGCAGGTGACGTCTAAACAATAGTAGACCAGTGTTATATACGCGTGCTGTTTCGTTTGTGCGAGGCGTGCGAATCAATGTGGATGCCCAAATCCTGAGTGGACACGCACCCGCCGCACGTGCTGGTGGTGGATGTGCCAGCGAGCTTGCGCCTGTGTGAATTTCAAATGCGCGCCTGTGTGTATGATCATGTGTATAACGTGTATAACGTGGAGGAGGCTCGTGAAGGACGCTGCTGCTGGGCAGCTGGAGGCAGTCGTCCCTCCAGCAACAACGGAGGGCGGAGGAGCGACGCTCACAACAACGAGCGGAGCGCCGGGCGGTTAGAACACAGCAAGTTGGCACAGCTGGTGCATCGGCCACTCGGGTAGGTCCCGTGACCTGCCAGCAGGCGTTCGACACTTCACGTGGCATTAACGTGCACCTAGCCTGTCACAAGCGCCGTGGTGACGTCACCGCAACTTAGTGGCGGAGTTCAATCTTGATTTGAAGCTTTCGTGACTGCAGGAATCAGGCGCCTGATGGCGATTGCTTGCGTTGCGATCGAAACGTCGTGGTCCATTACTTTTTCTACCTACGTGACTTTACCGAAAGAACCAAAGAGTAATGTTGAAGTTCTTTCGCACCGGACGTAGACAACCGTGCTAATCGGAGGTGCTACGAATCCGGCAACCCGAGTTCGATTCCCGCTCACGGCCAACACCGGTGACGGTTATCTGAATCGGCTCTGGGGATCTCCTAGGTAGACTCAGCTTCAAATAAGTACCTCGTGCGGTGCGTAGCCATCGCCACTTGGGGAGACAAAGGAGGCCGGTCGTGGTGCTGGGCACCCACCCCCTCGTGTCGCGGCCTTCGCAGGTGCTGCTCGCAAACAGCACTTGCCCCAACAGTCTGTTAAGGCCACCTGTATTATGGATATTTCGCGACCAGTGTCATCCATAAGAGGTTTGTTTGTGTTAGATCGCGTAAATTTATAAATGTATCGTTAAACCCGCCACCACCCGACGCAGCCAATTAGTAAGATTTGTCACGTAAACGGAACATGCCAAGTCGTTACTCGTACAGCACGCCGGTGTGTTGGAGAGCAAAGCCACAACATTTACTATCTGAAGTACTACTTTCGTCAGTAATTAACGACAGATTTATATATTTATGCGATCTAACCCAAAAAAACTTATAGAGAATAGTTATATGTCCACGTGTGTTATTAATTAACGTTATTTATGCATTAACTATGAATGTCCCTAGAATAATGCATGTATTGAAATCATTGCCATGTATTTAATTGTGTATGTACACTCAATTCAACGTGCTGTCCTTCGTCAATCCACTGCTGGATGAAGGCCTCGCTCACGTGTCACCACCACTCAGCTGACCCTCGCCTGACCCCCCATCATTCACGCTCACTGCTCACACACTAATAACTCGGCACTCACCTCTGCTGTACGGGCAACTGGCTGTGTGTGTCTGCGTGATGGGGCCGTACCGAGGTCCGTGTCGACAGCAGTGCCGCGTTTTGCTTAAGTGCCACGTGCTCTTCGGCAGGTGGCGAACCAATCACAGCGCCGTACGGGCAGCCCCTCGCTTTATCAGTCGGTTGTGGTTTTTTTTTTTAAAGAGCCGCTCTTCTACTACACCGGGCCGTCTCAGAGCGCCGCATACACCACAGGCGACTTGCGTCACACGTCATTTCAAACGGCGGCGAGATGTTAACTCCCTCGCCTGGTGTGCAGGAGGTCGTGGGCTCAATCCCGACCCTGATGCGTGCTGCTGTATATTTGGAGTTTGCGGTGTCTCTCTCCCCGTGGTCTCGTGGATTTTTCTCCGGGTCCTCCGGGTTTTCCCTCCACATTTAGAATCAGCGTCACGCGTTTAGAGTATTTGGCTGCTATACATTTGAATATACGCCACTTTGCCGGGCCATAATTTGTGTACAGGTCGCCTCTGAAAAAAAAAGAGAGCTCCGTGGGCCTTACCTGCTCAAATAAAAAAAAATGTTCAGTTTAGTTTAAACATTTAAAAAAGGGTACCCCCAGTGGCAGCTGTCCATGTGCGACTCATGAGGCGACTGCATCTGGCCTGCAAGCGGCATTCGTATGCCAGTATGGGGCGCGACAAATTCGTTGTTTAATCCAAATTGAACGTGACAAAACGACATCATCAGCGTTGTCAAAAATATACAAATACGCAACTAAGCAGACAATTATCCTCCCATCATATAAATATGTTGATGTGTTTTTTTTGTTTTACACCCTATCAGTTGCACGGCCTTGTGGGGGTGAATTATTTCAGCAGCATTGGTTCAACACAAGCAAACTTTGGCTCGGTTTTGACATTCAGGCTCCCATCAGAAGTCAGCGGACTTGCTGGGATTAACGTGGCCGCTTGGATGGGCGATAACACCCCAGTCGTGTTCTGTGCGGAGAGACAGATACTGGGAGTATTCCCAGTAAACATGCAACGTTTACTCAGCGGTTCACTGTGTTGTCTGTCTGCTTATTCATTGTGTAACATGCTGTGTATACATTTATTGTGTTGCATGCTGTGTATAGGGTACACATCGTCGGCTCTGGGGGTGTTGTTTGTGAATGTAAACAGGGCTACGCGGCAGGGTTGACCGAGTGTGAGCCGCTTATCTTGTTCAGGGAAGAAGAAACTCCTGGTGTAGAACCCCCTATATTTATGACAATGAATACAACAAACATCGCATATTCGGTATTCGCGCCATCATGATTATTGTATGGCTCAAGGCTATCACGCAGGGAGGCGCTGCTGTTTCACAGATAGTGTCACAGCAGGGGGCCGATGTTGCCACACCACGTGTACTCACAATTGAGTACATTCGCAGGAAAGTTATTCACGTTTTGTTGTTGAAAATGTGGGCCGTGCCGCCGGGGACACAATGGCCCGCTCTTGTCAAAGGACGCCACGGCCTCTTAACCTATCGTCCACTGCGAAAGCGAACGGCGGGCAGCAGCAGCAGCAGCAGCAGCAAATGTTACGATTAAAATACACCCGCGGTGTTACCCAGGGCGGACTGCCGGAATCGAACCGCGGACCCTCTCTGGCAAAACAAGCCGGCTGCCCCTTGCCTCCTCCCCTGCCCACCCACCCACTCACCTCACCCACCTCACCTCGCCCACCTCACCCCACACCTCGCCCCACACCTCGCCCACCCACCCCACTCACGTCACCCACCTCACCTCGCCCACCTCACCCACCCACCCCACTCACGTCACCCACCTCACCCCACACCTCACCCACCCACCCCACTCACGTCACCCACCTCACCTCGCCCACCTCACCCCACACCTCGCCCCACACCTCGCTCACCTCAACGAACTAACCCACCCACTAGGGTGGGTGGGTTGCGTGGGTCCCGCGCCACCGACCCCAACCCTCGTTCCCACCTGGCGCCACCGACCCCAACCCTCGTTCCCACCTGGCGCCACCGACCCCAACCCTCGTTCCCACCTGGGGCAGAGCGAGCAGCGCGCTGAGGCTCCACGCGGCGCACAGCAGCGTCTTGTTGCGCCGCTTGGCGCGCGACACCCCCAGGGGGTCGGTGACGGCGGCGTGGCGGTCGAGGCTGATGACCACGGTGACGAAGGCGCACGAGTACATGGCCACCAGCTTAAGGAACATGAGCAGGCGGCAGGCCGCGTCGCCGCCCCGCCAGCCCACCGTGATGTTCCACGCGGCGTCCAGGGGCATGACCACGCACGCGGTGAGCAGGTCCGACAGGGCCAGGTTCACCAGCAGGATGCGCACGTGGGAGCGCCGCGGACGGCGGTCTCTGGACGCGCTCCAGAGCACCGCCGCGTTGCAGCACAGCGAGAGGGCGCACAGGGAGAAGGTGACCGCCACGCGCACCTGGGACGCCGTCGTGAAGGAGGGGATGACGATGCCCTGGCTGGGAAGGCTCACGGGCGGGGATTGGAGCCGAGGGACTGTCGTGGCGGGTGATGAGGAGGAGGGGGAGGGTGACGAGGTGGTGGTGGTGAAACTGAGAGGAAGGTCGCTCGATGGTGAGATCTGCCAAGTGACGGTCCACGTGGGCGATGATGAATTCATGGTTGATTTTTGCGAATCCAGCCAGGATCCTGCAAAATAGACGTCACCTTTAACAGCCTGTACTAGTAGCATCATTATCGCCATCATTAACAATCTGTAAAATTAGAATTATCATTAACAATGTACCATGATAATCATTATCGCCATCATTAACAATCTGTAAAGTTAGAATTATCATGAACCATGCACCATGAGAAATATCGCCATTAACAATCTGTACAGTTAGAATCATTATTAGCAATGTACTATGAGAATCATCATCGCCATCATTAGCAATCTGTAAAATTGTAATCATCTGCAGAAGGTGCCACGTTTCAAATGAAAGAGGTGTGCAATGTCGCAGTAATAAGCGTGCGTGACTTTAACCGCACGATCATTTTGTAGCTGCGCCCGTTACAGAGAGAAAAACCTCCTAGACACTCGGGAGCGAGCCGCTCCCGTCTCAAGGGGATGACGCATGCGTTATATTTTAACAAACTAAACACAAAACAATTAAACACTAGGTAAGCGTGTCGTTGCAATGCCACTGCCTATTAAAAAGTGTCTGGCACGTGGTTATGTTCACGTACCTTTTTTTTTTTACGCGAAAGCTCTACAGCTTGTGTGCATCACAACCCAGGAAGTAGAGGCGCGTTCCACTCTTGCATACGAAGATCCTCCGTATAGCCTTAACATACTTTTGGTGCAAGTGCCGTTAGCGAGCACCTATTAAGGTAGACGTGACCACGCGCGCGCGCGCACACATACACACACGTGTGCAGCGCACACTGACACACTAGTGCAGCACACGCGCACGCTGTGTGTGGTGGTGGTGGTGCTGCTATATATAGGCGGCGCATGCCTCATCCCATAGGCGGGATGCTGAGTTTAGACATCCGCAGAAGTTCCACCAGCACGGTCGTGACTCGGCATTGGCATAATCGACGCTTGGAACGGTCGGAAGCCGTACAAGACTTCCGCGGATTTCTTCGCTTTACCGCTGCTCCCATTTAGCGGCCCTGATAATGTGGTGCATAGATCGAATGGTTTGTGTCTGTCTTGTAGAGGGGTTAGTGGTTGTGGCGGGGAGGGAGGAGGGTGTGATGAGTCAGCGATTATCGAGTCGTCTAGCATCATCAGCCATCATCATCATCATCACTCCTCCCTTCGCCCGCACCTCCGATAATTGTCACGGCTGGGCTACGTACGGTGCGCGAAAGAAGTTAAACATTCATACAATCCAGCATTCAACTATCAGTCACCATTATCACTACTATCCATCAAAACCAACGGTCATACCCGTCGTCGTGAATGAAGCATCATCGCCAATGAAATCACCAATAAACCAATCACGACGTCATTATCAATCAAGCGAGCAGCACCAATGGGATGAAATTAATCAGCAACTTTAAATAAATATAGACAACACGTTCTACTTAATTAAATATACTTTTGAATAAATGTTTTCTCCGACAACATCGGAGTGCAGCGCCACATTAAATACGCACTACAATGACAATAGTTTAAAGCGATTTGAAACGTTTAATATTTTTTTGGGGGGGGAAGCAGAGCTTTGTGACGTCATTTGAGGGGGGGTCTGACTTTTTGTGACGCCGTGTGACGATGGGGGGGGGGGGGGGTCAAAAATCGTCCAAAATCGCGTGACGTCATTTATGGACGGCCCCCTAAGTCATTTCGAGGTATTGGCATTCGGGGTCGAAAACGTTGAGCACCATTTGCTGCAGTAGTAATCTTCTTTCGAGACAGGTCCCTGCCACAGGAACGTGGAATTTCAAAATTCTGGCAGAGGACAGCCAAATTAAAACCATCACTGACAAAAACACGCGGCTGGGTTGAGAGCCGTGTTGTAGGTGTAGAGCGCTCTTCGCTGGCCTGCTGGTCGTCCTTCAGGGCACGTCGAGGGATGGCCAGAGAGAGAGAGAACGATAAGGGAAAAAAACAATTTGGCTTTTACCCTTTCTGGCAATAACGCAGGTGTTAGGATGTTCAAACTCCAAATATATACCGAGTGCATTGGATTTGTCCTGTTCGCCTTTTGGCGTTCTCTTGTTTGCGTTTATGTTTTGGCACAATTACGCGTGGTAAATATGCCTTTCAATATGGTTCTATTTTAGTGGTTGAACATCTGAACACCTGTTTTATTTCCAGAAAAGGGTAAGGCGTACTCTAAATCTTTTAATCATTTTTGATATTGGCAAAAAAGTTCCATAGAGATTACAAAAATAAGAGTTGGAGACTGCACTCCACACTATGGGGCCTGAGAAAAAACATTTAATTGGCGGACGAATAGTTACCTCAGAATTAGTTATTGTGACAAACATTTCAATAATCTTTGCAGAAACAAGTTAACTCCCTTGCCTGGTCTGCAGGAGATATTGCGTTCGATCCCCCTGACGCCTGCTGCTGTATATTTGGAGTCTGCGGTGTTTCTCTCCCCCGTGGTCGCGTGGATTTTTCTCCGGGTCCTCCGGTTTTTCCCCCTCCACATTTAGCATCAACATCACGGCGTTTAGAGTATTTGGCTGCTATATAAATGTCCACGTGATGGTAATCCACTTATTTGAGCTATCATTTGTGATAGCCAGGTAGCGTCTGAAAGACAGCTGTGTAGCTCAGTTGGCCTTACCGGGTAAATTAAAAAAAAACTTAAGTTTTATAATTTCCAGAAATCGTATTATTTTAATACTGACAAAACACAGCTCCATAGATGTCCTTTCCATTGTACTAGTGATGAGTGTGCTAGTGGTGCTTGTCTATTTGTTTGTGTTTCTCCCTAGTGATGGGACTTTGTAGGATGAACGTTGAGATGTATAATGTGGCACGGGGAGACCAATAAGGTCTGAGTTGGTTTGTAATAAGGCAGGGCACTGATCAGGGAATGAATCCCTCCAGTTTACCGGAGTGGCCTACCCAGCCGTAATATGAAGGGCAATACAGTAAGCTGTCCTCCAGACAGTCTCGTCCCTTCACCTGATGAAGGCCGCTTGTGTTGTGGCCGAAACGTCGTGGTTTTTGTTATTTTATTTTTTACCTACGTGACTTTACCCAATAGAACCAAAGAGTATAGTGTTACGTCTTCATTGGAAGCTTTCGTGACTGCAGGAATCCATACTCTTTGGTTCTTTCGGTAAAGTCACGCAGGTAAAAAAGAAATCACGACGTTTCGGGCGCAACACAAGCGTCCGTCATCAGGTGGGAAAGCTGTTTTTTGCGTGCTTTTTGTGCAGTGCTTTCCCACCTAATGACGGACGCTTGTGTTGCACCCGAAACGTCGTGATTTATTTGATACCTACGTGACTTTACCGAAAGAACCAAAGCGTACAGTGATACGTAGTAAAGATTTTGAAATAGTTTCACCTCTTCCCCCACCACCACCACCACCCCGCCCAGGGCTGTTTCAACCGCGGGGCTGGGGATTGATGCCGCGGGCGTTGTTCAGGGGGGTGGGGATGGGGGGGGATGGGGGGGATGGGGGGGGGGATGGGGGGGAGTGGTGGGGATGGGGGGGGTGGTGGGGGGGTGGTGGGGGTGGGGGGTGGGGGGTCCCCGTTGTTTTTGTGCTCTCCCCGTCAGTGACGGAGGTGTTCGTGTGAGGAGTCTCGAGCCCCATCGCGCGAGGCGTTCTTCTCGGGGAATGGGGACAAAAGGCGCCGAGGCATTTCCGCACGAGCCCGATCGTGATGCAATAAACGAGCGTGGCACAAAGGGGATGTCCACACGGGAAACGGAACGACAAAAGCAACAACCGGCACAGAAATAAAATAAAACCTCCTGGTTCGCTTTCCACAACAACCCTCAACAGGAAGGGAGGGGGGGGTAAAAGAGAACTAAATTACGGACTGCCATCCATGCTCAAACTACCTTGCATGAGATAGAGAAAAACCAGACACATTACGAGGAAAGGGAATAAAGGAAGGGGGCCAAGCGTCACGTTGCTCGACTCCGCCGGGCGCCCTCCACCTCTAAAACTCAAGAGGCTGCATGCCAGGAGATTCCGGTGGGTTTATTTTTTTAGCACAAGGCAAATGCGTCTTTATGTAGATGAGCGATCCTTGGGGAGCGTTGCCCTCTGCTCCCTTCGGGAGGCCGAAGTATTGTCTTTTTTGTTTGCATTTTGACTACTTGTGTTGTGGTTATTGCAAACATGATCCCTTCTATAAAGGTGTCAGTTTTTGTGCCAGATAAAAGGGTAAAAACCTATTACTATATCTTGTTACTGGCAAAGGAGGTCTCATAATGTAAGTTCTGACCCCGGGCTCTCAATACTCTGATGGTGCGCTGTTTTTGAGTTGTACGCCTTTTGGCGTCTTCTGGTCCAACACCAGTGGAGACTAAAGGGCTCTAAGAAAAGCCGTCTCGGGTGTGGATCAATCAAATTCAAGGACAGTGCCAATATCATTATCAGTTGTCTTTTTTGTTTGCATTTTGACTGCTTGTGTTGTGGTTATTACAAACATGATCCCTTGTATAAAGGTGTCAGTTTTTGTGCCAGTTAAAAGGGTAAAACCTATTCCTATATCTTGTTTCTGGCAAAGGAGGTCTCATAATGTTAATGCTCACCCCGAGCCCTCAATACTTTGATAGTGCGCTGTTTTTGAGTTGTACGCCTTTTGGCGTCTTCTGGTCCAACACCAGTGGAGACTAGGCTCTAAGAAAAGCCGTCTCGGGTGTGGATCAATCAATTTCAAGGACAGTGCCAATATCATTATCAGAGTTGTCTTTTTTGTTTGCATTTTGACTACTTGTGTTGTGGTTATTGCAAACATGATCCCTTGTATAAAGGTGTCAGTTTTTGTGCCAGATAAAAGGGTAAAAAACCTATTACTATAGGGTTGTTGTTGTTGTTTCCAGTAGGGGTTGGAGGTCCGTTCAGCGCTGCTCACTCGGCCATAACGCCACCGGAAGTCGATCCTTTGCATTCGTCGTCCGATTTGTCATCGGACAGGCAAGCAAGACGTTCCACAATTTAAGTGTTTCCATTAAATAGATTACACTTGCTTCAATAATTTTCATTCTCAAGTCTTAATTCCTGATTTTGTTCCTTCTCGTTAGGATTCACATCCTCCCGTCCATCGTTATATGGCAAACCTGTAACTTTCTCACTTGGTTCTTTGGTTAGGGACCACGTTTTTTGCCCCATTAGGCCATCAATATTAAAATGCAAGCAACCATTCACGCACGTTTCATCATTAACGCAGCGTTAATCAAAGCTTTGAGCGAAATAAATGCGGCTACAGTGATTGTCACTGGGCGGTAAGGCAAGGAAAATGAAAAAACGCCCATGTTGCCTAGAATTTATTTTTATTGATGGAACTCAAACAGCAAGTTGATTTGGACGTAAATTGTATCTACATTTAAAACAGTGCATAAAAATGTAACGGAACTCCCTCCTTACGTTACAACTGACATCTTGGGGCTGGTAAATCAAAGTGACAGCACGCACTCGCATTTACACACAAACCGGACAGTGCCTCGTTGCGTTTCACATCGCTTTTTTTTTACAAGCTTCCAAAACGCGAATGTCCCAATAATGTATAATACGTTCACTGGAAGAGCAGATTTTTTTTTTTAAACAGAACGCAACCCCCCCCGTTGATCCAGGAATTAACCCGAAATGTGTCACGGGCGGTCGGCCCAGTTTGCAGTGGAGCGCACGGATCTGGATTGACTCTGGATCCGCACCAAGGATTGGCTCGCCCCAACATCAGATCAGAGCATTGTGCCTTACGACGATAAAACAACAAAACAGAACCATCACATTCGGCAAACCGGAGTGGATATCAGTTATGATGTCAAACGCTACCCAAAAAAAAATTATTGGAGAAAAATATTCATTCAAAATAGCTTCACCAAAACAATCTGCATTTTGTATATTTTTTGCGACTGCATACAAAAATGTGTTATGATCCATCTAGACACGAGCACGATCACTTAACAACACTGGCCATATCGCCCTTCCGCTTAGCTTTCGTGGTCCAAAAAAATAATATAAAATGCTGTACGAGTAACTTTTCAATCCCATCTCCAAGCAGATTTTTTTTTATTAAGAAATGGGGGGGGGGGGGATCCTGTTAAGCTCAAAAGGCATTGTATTTTACAGCATTCTCTTAGAGTTTACCCAGAACACGCCCGGGGTCCATGGAAATCAGCAGAGCCGAACGTACGTTGCAAAAGCCGGGTTTGGTTTCACCTCTGGATTAACACAAAAAAACCCACAATCGCACGACGGCGGCATTTTCAAAGTCGGGCTTCCCCTAAATGTGTTTGCTTTTTTGTTTAACTACTTATAACACTAAATAGAAAAAAAAACACACACATTCGTGACTTTATTCAAGGTGTTACTAGTGGTTGTAGCACGAGGCCCCGCAGGATGCCCACGAGCACTGGGAGACGACGCGAGACCTGCTAAGCGGTTCGCGCCGCCCGCAAAAAAAGGTAACACTGCCTCCAAACGGAACCAACGTGCTTCGTTGTCATCACAGTATGCTGACAAGAGAGACATTTTTTTAAAATAACTGTGGAGGTAGACCTATACATGTCATCGGGGTTTTTTTAAGGGGGGGGGGGGGAAGGGGTATGCGCGTTTCACTCATGAACATGAACAATTTAATGTTGCACAATTATCATGACGTTTAAACGTTACGCGAACACTGCCGCCTGCCACAGCGACATCGCTCAGTTGCGGAGGGGTTAAGGGGAGGGGGCATTTTGTTTGCTGTCGTGGATTTCATACAATTATTAAAATTCCTCCCCCTCCTCCGCCCTTTCATTTGTGATTGTTTACAAATAAAAAGACGGCGGCTGATTACTAAGTGGGGCGCCGCGGTGGCTAGGAGATGTTGACTCCCTCGCCTGGTATACAAGGGGTCGTGGGTTCGATCCTGACCCCGATGCCTGCTGTATATTTGGAGTCTGCGGTGTCTCTCTCCCCGTGGTCGCGTGGATTCTTCTCCGGGTCCTCCGGTTTTTCCCTCCACATTTAGAATCAACGTCACGTGTTTTAGAGAATTTGGCTGCTATAAATGTCCATATAAGCCACTTCGTTGAGCTACCATTTGTGGCCAGGTCGCTCCTGAAAACGAGTTGTATTAGCTCAGTGGGCCTTAACTGGTAAAATAAAAAATGGTTTGGTTTAATAGTTTAAGTATGCCAGCGCAGACAAAAGGGGAGAATTTGCTTAAGCACCAAAATGCCGATGCGTCCGCGCATTTTTCGAATAACCTCTACAAAATAAATTAAAAGTTGTGTGCGAAACTGTCAAAGAATTCCACATCCACGTGCTGCTGCTTTACAAACGTTAAATACTATATATAGGCATCATCAAGTCAAACGTACTGCATGCCTTTAGCGTAACGGTTAAAAAAACAGGTCATAGAACTCAGAGCCATCTCATTAACCAGAATATTACTGCAGCTTACAGAGCTATACACACACACACACACATGAATGTGGTCAAAACTTTTGATAATTATGAAATAATAAAGATTACAAAATCTTTTAGATTTTTCAAAAAATTTCCAGCCTGCGACGTCAATGCACTTCATCCGCGATGAGACCAGGCACACGGAAATCAAATGGCGTTGAAAGGAACGCTGCATAAAGGGTAAGCGAAGATTAATTCATTTACGAATCTAAACGTTTCGACTGCCTGTCATAGACACGTACGAGTGTGTGTAACATGCTTTTAGCCAGTTTAATAGGTTGCTGGAGTGATGTTTGGAAGTACTCATTTGTTAAGCCCCTTGGCTTCCTTAAGTCTTCATTGGAGGTGTGAAGCATCAACCAGATCGATGCAAGTCTAGACCTCCCGGACTGCATGCCAGCAAGCAACTCAGCAATTCAACAAAATCAAGACATGCTAATGATAACAAACCGGGACAAGGAGCCATTGATTTAAACAAGCGAGACATCGCAGACGACCGCATGGAGATGGCAGTCGGCAGCAGTGTGCGACATTTCCCCAACCAGCCGAGTGCGGTGTGGATCGACGCGGAACCCATCCAGGTGGGTGGCGGGTACAGATACACGCACACACTACACGCACAGCCCCCTATTGTCAATCCACTTGTCCCACACGGTGCGAGTCCTTGTGGGTTGAAGACCGGGGGCGCGTGCACGCGCGAGGACTGTGGATTCCACTGCACCCACAGCGTAACCACGCAGCACCCTCCAGCGCCTGCCATTTGTATGGCGGTTTCTCTCATGCAAGCAACCTATCGAGGCTCAACCCGCGTATAGAGTCCTAAATCTGACGAGATCGATCGCATCCTCGGTGATTTTGACAACGAGTGGCCAGTTATGTAGTGCACAGCTTAGTTTCCAAACCGAAGGACCCACACCAACATTCCAGATGACACGCGTGAATTACGAGATAATGCGCCGGCGATGGGGAAGCGTGTTAACGAGGGTGCGGATTGAGAGGCGAAGTTGTACGTGCCAGCAAACGTGATCTTCCTTGCAGTAGTCGAATCTTTGTCCCTTGTTAATGAGGCTGGGTGCCCCAACTTGTAAGTCCTGAGCGATCACATTCCCAACCGCCCTGGGTGTCTATCAAGATGAGACAAGACTGCCATTCATCATCATCATCATCTCTCAATCTCTCTCTATACCTTACAAACCAATTACACACTCTCGCGTAAAAAAAAAAAAAGTCAAAAATTCATTTCAGAGAATTGACAACTTTCTGGCCTAGCTGTATTTTTGACGTAGAATATGACTTACGTTAAGTTGTTACAGCGTCTACCGGCTCCTTGGATTGGTTCAAAAACAAACTGCGCACTCAACTATAACACGTTTCAAAACTGTTGATTTTCCATCCTGCCATATGAAAGAGAAGGGATTGTTACGCTATAGCTTCAATTGCGCGAGCTGGATGCGCCGTCATTTAACAAACTCCCGGGTGGCTTTGGGGGTAAAGCATTGGCGAGGCTGCGAGTGAAACGACGCCAACTGGAATCCCTGGCTGGTGCCACTCCAACAGCTTAAAACCTTCACCGGTAGGCATCGGCTGTTTACGGTTTAACCGCTGCTGAACGATTCCATTTATTTAACTTAACAATCAAGACTCATGAGTTATGGGATGTTTTGGAAAGGCCCCTGATTCTTAATGTTTTTCAGTCAAACCTCTCCCTCCTAAGTAACCCCCCCCCCCCCGACTCCTCCTGATGCAAGAACTCAACTCCAGGCAGTTTAATACTTCATTCAAAATGTGTGGGAGTTTACAAACCCCACCCCCCTCCAAACCCCCGCGATGTCCCGATTCCGGCATTTTATTCACTTGTAAGAGCGAGCGATGCTTCATTACACAGGGGCGGATTGGACAGATGTGTCAGAAAAGTTCTACTGGTATATTTACTTTACTAGAAGGAAAGGTACCAATAAATAAGGCAAACAGGAACACTGTCGTCATGTCGGGTGAAGCAAGGTTTTCACTTGTCGTACACGCCTCACCCTTCTGGTAACCACGGCAGGCATCTTCAGAAATGAACAGTACAAAAATTTACTTATTTTACACCTCCCCCCCCCCTTCCTCGTCAGTTTGTACACCTGCAAAACAAGAAGGAAATACGCCACGCCGGTTAGAAACACGTACAGGCCGCCAAGACACTTAAAAAAAAGATAAACATCGCAAGCGCTCAGGTTACAGGAATTAAAGTGTTTGCTGGAGGCAACAGCTGTGCATGGTTTTCTATTTGACTCGTTTATGCGATCTCTTTTTTTGAATCTCCGTCTCATTGTGGATGAATTAGACCCAAATGGTTGCAGGCTTAATGCGTTTTATGATTTAAAAAGTGCAATGATTGCACATCTCCACGGTGCCACGGCCGCACGTTTATCCCAACTTTGCCGGTTCATTCTCTCGCAGAGGAGACGCCCAGCCGGACCTAGGGCCCAACAAGAACCCTGCCTTCAATGAGACTCGACGCTCACTAATAAACTGCGTAGCTCTCAGAGGGGCTTTCGGCTTGCGCCACATGTTGTTGGGCATGGTGTTTCCCACTAAGTTCCAAGTGTGTGGTGAGAAACGTCTGACGTCGTGCCGACCAGCACGCGGTATAACCAGAAAATGCATCGGCGAGCTACAGAGCAGCAACAACCCCGACAACCTGCGTAGTAATAACCCACTCTATGCATATGTGCGTGTCTGTGTCACACACACGCTGTGACTCACAAATGTTGGGAAGTTTATGATGTGATGGCACACGTATGTGGCTGCACAATTGACGTGATAATGTTTCAAACATACCAAATCAGCATTCCAGACTCCCATCCAAACATGAAGGACACACCAACCGTGCAGACATTTTTGTTCTTCAAAAGGTGCATTCATATCTATGGTCTATTCCTTACAATAGGTTTAATCAGTCACTCTGAGTCAACTGTTATGCCCACACTATGGGGAAAACTCATTAAACTTCAGTCGCTCCGCGTATTAACTTCTAAATTACATTCCATTTTTGTTTAAGTTTTCAAACACCGATAACTGGCGGGCACCCAAGGTCCGTTATCTAAGATCACCGCCCACCACCTAACACCACCACGAAATGGCGCTGTGCATGCGCTCACCGCTCGACCCCGTCCGCCCTCCACCTCACTTCCCCAGGTCCTGGCCAAGCGTGGACATCCCCAGCGCCAGGCTGCCCTGGTCGCCGGCCTCGCCGCCGGCCGACGCGACGCGGGCCTCCTTCTTGGCCAGCTTCCCCACACCCGAGTCGCTGTCCGAGAGGTCGTTGTACACCACCACGGGGGGTCCGTCCACTGCGGCGTAAAGGGGCAAAAAGGTCGTCGCCCGATCGCTTGTTCACGCTCACGCTCGCGCTCGTGCGCGCCGCTGTACGAGCGTGCTTTGCTCGTTCACGATGTTCCGATATTTGGCTCCGCGTTGCCGGGAGCTTCTTTAGGAGCCGAATTATTTTCCGAGTGAATTGGGAATTTAACCGAATTCATTTTGCGAAGAAGCTCCCAGCGACGCGGAGCCAAACATCGGACGTCGTGGCGAACAAACACGAGGTACTACCCGAAAATGCGTCGGAGCCAAAATGAGAAATAATATAGACCACTGCCATGGCCACAACGGCGCCCTGCAATTCGTGAATCCCGTGTGTGTGTTTAACAGCTGGGTGGAGCTTCTGTGAAAACCACGGCTATAGAGGGGCATTAATGTAAAATGTTTGGGCAGACAATATAATTACAATCTAATCTGCAAAGTATTTCATAGCAGTTTGGCAAATCTAATGAAGCTTTAAATTACAAGTCATGTATAATATATTTTCCAGAGCCTTTGGGCAAGTTCACAGCACGTAGCAATTAACACGTGGCCGTGTGCGTGTTCGCACAGGAGATATCAGCCAGAATTTTTCAATCTCGTAATGAATGGCAATAAATTGTGCAAATCAAAGGCGCATTTAAATAATTGAAAGGACCGCAAATTAATAATTTAACGTTCGGTAAATTACATACATTTGCAATTATATCAATCATTTCCCATCACCGTTATGCAGTAACAATTAAAATGTATACACAGGGTGATCTATTTATACATACCCTAACGATTTCTAATGACTCTTCTTCCCAAAAGGCGTTTGAATATTGGTGACAGCGATAGCTATGCTGAACTAAGCGTATCGGCAGTGTTAAAATACCTAATGCGTCTAATTGAGACTCATGGAAAAGACGGGTCTGTCCAGAGGACAGAGCTTGAATGAACGCTGTCAAGCAAGGATCGCGTCTTTTAAGCTGTGTGGGCGGAGTTAACACATGAATTAGCATGTTACCAGCCCCACCTCCGGAGCAGAGGAGGGAGGGGGCTGGGAACACAGACAAAAAAAAGGAAAAAAGAAAAACAAGAGCAACAGCCAAGGTGCGCTGCTGTGTCCTGAGTTGCATTATGACTATGCTATAAACTGGACTACTATATAATACAATGTTATACCTTCCAATCTAAACTACATGGTATAACATTATATCCATAGACAAATTCCACCTGTGAATTATACAATGCGTTACTTTACACTACCCTATACTTTAGACTATACAATATTAGACTTCTAACATAACACTGTCTTAGTCTATGAACCCAACTATATACCACACTACTGTATATTCACTATGCAATTACGATGCTATATATTGCCTTGAGTTATGTTAAACATGACAATGTTATACTATTAATTATTATACTACGTGTTATAAACCATATCATTAACCGTGGTGTGAGAGGTGTTGTGGCCGAAACGTCGTGAGAATTTTATTATTTTATTCTTATTATTTTATTTCCATTCTACGTGGTGACTTTACCGAAAGAACCAAGAAGATGAATCCCTGCAGTCACGAAAGCTTTAAATCGAAATTCATGGAAGACTTGTGCAGGCTTTGAAAAACAAAAAAATATATTCTCTACATTTTAGTGGAGTATCTGTAAATAAATCATGCAAGATCGTGGGTTAATGGGATAAGCACAGCCTTCAGTCAAGTGCTGCGTAATGCACACCGCACGCACGCACATGCGTGCACAAACTACAACTTTCATTCACTCCACCAACGACGATTTGTAAGAGCCGTGCTATAAACAGGGCGTGTAATTTGCGATTACCCATAACGCTCCGCGAAGCACGTCTGGGCTGCTGGTGAAGCAGTACAGGCGGCAGATGAGACACGGGTGCGATGGAGTCATCCGTGAGCGCCGCAGGGGAGGGGGGGGGGCATTGGGGTGGGGGGGGGGGCGGCCGTCTCTCCGATCGCTAACGCAGCAACTGCAGCAGCATTGCTCGGCATCCCTCCCTGCCAGTTCTACCCCGAGCGTCTGTTTGTGGGTTTTTTCAGCTTCCCGCCCCAGCAAAAATCACAGCATAGAGGTAACGGAGCGTTAACTGATACTTCAAACGATAGATACTTATTACATTCAAAACGCTGATATTGCGGAGCGGTAAGAGCACCAATAACGTTCATAATTTATGAACGTGCGTTTGCGAGTGCCACTCCAGCTGGAATGCGCCGTGTAAACCCCCCGTACCCTTCATCTTGTTTGCCTGCCTCTTTTGCAAGTGCGGTCTAGGCTAAATGTGTCTCGACTCGTGCGAGGTATCTTGGCTCGTGTGAGGAGTCGGGAGTGCATTCGGGGGTGTCGCGTCAGTGGGTTGATGCTCCCGACTGGTTTGGACAGCTGAGAGTTCGAAATGATTAACAACGATACTAACGGTTAACAATACAAACGGTTGACGACAATACAAATGGTTAACAATACAAACGGTTAACAACAATACAAACGGTTTTTTGTTTGGGGTGAGCAGCTATATCATGGGACCTTATTTTCTAGTATCAATGCCATATATTATCATAGCATGTTTGTTTGCATGTTCACCACAAGTACTGTGTGTGGGTAATGCAGATTAGCTTCCTTGCAAAAGGTGTCTATTTGGTGTTTGAACATCTTAATACCTGAAAATAGGTTTTTCCCCTTTTATCCGGCAACAAAACAGGTATTCTTGGTTATTTCGGTAAAGTCACGCAGAAGTGAAACAATAAAATAATAAAAATATAAAAAACAAAATTCACGATGTTTCGACTGCAATCATCATCATCATCAAAAACACTGCATATATTATCAGAATATTTTTTTGTTTGCATTTTGACCACAAGTATTGTGGTTAATGCAGACATGATTCCTTGTTAAAGGTTTCAGTTTGGTGTTTAAACAACTTAACACCTACATTTTCTTGCTGTGGTTTTCACACCTGATGATGATTGCTTGTGTTGCAGTCGAAACGTCGTGACAATTGTATTGTTTTATATTTTTATTATTTTATTGTTTCCCTTCTACGTGACTTTACCGAAAGAACCAAGAATATGAATCCCTGCAGTCACGAAAGCTTTAAATAAAAATTTAACTTAACACCTGTTTTGTTGCCAGATAAAAGGGGAAAAAACCTATTCTCATATTTTGGTACTGGCAAAGGAGGTCCCATGATCTTAATAACTGTTTTATTGCCAGAAAGGGTATAACCTATTTTTATTTTTCATCGCCTTTTGTTATTTTGTAGACAGTTACCTGGCCTATTACCGTACTTATTATTTGTTGATCCCTGCATTTAAGAAACTCATTTATAAATTCCTTCTATGGGGGTTTAGCCCCTTCTCTCGCGTCAATGTGGTTCGCAATGCTTAACTTGCTCAGATTCAATTTGCGTGAACGATGCAATATAAAATGTTTATTAACTTTTCACAAGGAAAAAAACAGTCATTAAAAAGATAAGGCGTTCTGTAGACACAATGCCAAATTACTCCCGCCGACACATTATACAGGTGCCATCACTGATCTATACTGCGCGCACGCACACTATGGGAGTGGTGGCGCAGCGGTTCACGCACCGCGCAATGAACCTGGCGACCCCGAGTTCAATTTGTGGCCACGGCTAACATCAATTGTTGGAGATAACTGAAACAGTTATACAACCCTCATCCCCGCCACTGCCTTCTTCACCAACTGCGCTGACCAGCGTGGGGAAGTATAGTCAAACAACCCCCATGACCAACAATCCAGTCGTGGAACGGCATGAGGCTGCAAATTACTTTACTCAATTATTTGTTTTGAAGTACCACAAAGTCCACATGCTTAGCACTTGACACACACAGCTCATGCACATATAACAGTGACACGATAACAACACGGCATTCACATATCCATTACACCCACACCAGCGCGCTATACCACACACAGCCTTTGTGCTATCACCACCACAGCACTCACAGCGTTCACACTTGCACCACGACGCTTACGGCCACATTACTCACGCCACATTACCAACTTGCATCTCCTAAACTCTGACATCGCAATGGTTGAGAGCGTTCGAACCTCAGAGTTGTTGTCCTTGAGCCTGAGCTTGTTATAACGTTCTTCCAGGGCAACCCCCTCAAACGAATCGTGACACCGGAATAACAAAAATGCATTTGCCAGGGGGGCCGAGCTTTCAAACAACAACTGTCACACCCCTTTTCCACTTGCACATCCAAGCCGTGCCAGCAGGGGGCCAGCACGTCACGGGTGGTTTTCCACTGCCATTTTCCCGAGCCGAGCTAGAACCAAGCCACCATGCTACCTGGCCTCACAAGGCACCGAATCTGACTCGGGTCCAAGCCGTGCTAGGGGCGGGGCTAGCGGACAGGCGCAAAGCGTGTGACGTCAGCGGCGCGGTTCAGCAATCGGTGCTTCTCGAACCCTACGCAGTGCTAGCTGGCCGGCGGGTGGCGCTTACGTGGCGGCTGCGCGGGTGAGAGCACGCGGCCTCGCGCGTCGCTGTCGCTGCCGCCGCTGGAACGGCTGGTGCTGGAGGAGGAGGAGCTGCAGGAGGAGGAGGACGAGGATGAGCTGCTGTAGGGAAGGCTCGCCAGCTTGCGCTGCACCGCCGCCTCGCGCTTGCGCCGCAGCTCCCGCAGGCGCTCCTTCTGCTGCTGGCTCCGCCGTTTCCCAACGCCGCCGCCGCCGCCGCCGCCGCCGCCTCCGCCGACGCCGCCGGCGCCCGCGACACCGGCGGCGTTGCTTACCTGGGCCTGGGGGCAGCCGCGTGATTCGTCAAGGAGCTACGCAGCGACCACCTCTCGAATCCCAATGGACTACGAATGAGTTTTGGTTTTTAAAAAGTTTCCGAGGACAAGTTTGGATTTATGTCAGTTTCTATGATCATCTACGTAACGTGATCATTTTAAATGTCTTCTTGCCAACGGTAGCGACGTCGCCCGGCGTGACGTAACACCACGCTTGGTGTCATTGAAGTGACTTCACTACATCTGATGTCATATTTACGGATCAATCCGAAACAGAAACTGAATAATTCAGAAACAACCTCCAAGTGACAAATACTTCCTTTACAAGTCTGGTCACACAGAGTGGGGAATTTTTTGCCATTTAAAGAGCAACTTAAGGAAATATATAAAAAAAAATAACATCAGTTATTTGATGCAATCAGCCACTGCACTATAGCCAAGCAACAATGCAGAGTCATCGATTAAAGTTGATTCTTACATTCACAACACATGCGCCAATTCGTGCAACTAAAATGTCATTCTTTTCAATTTGTACGTGTTCTAAATGTGCCCACTGTTTTTTCAACAGTATCTTGGGATGCTATTCTATATATCCACATTTTATTTTATTCATACATTGAGTAAAATACTCAAGGAAATCGATCCATTGCAAATTAAATTACGACCTCAAACTGCGACAAATAACGTTTTAATGTGAGGTGCGGCGGGTTGGGTAATTGTTACACCCCTACTCGACTCTATAAACCCTCGGTAACATTGTCTCAAAGAGTTAAACAGGTCCCTGCAGGGTGGGCTGGTAGAAGTTCGCAAATGAGATAATGTGACTTTCAAATGTTGGGTGCAATAAGACATATCAAGTCTCTGCGCTGTCTATTGCTGATTTTACACCCAACAGCACGAGATTTCACTTCGTTAAAGTATTGAAAGGAGACGGACGGACGGACGGACGGACGAACGGACACATTAATCTATTGCAGGCTGGTACACTCAGTTTACAACTTCGTTCCTACCAGTAAAAGTTGTCCACTCATAGAATGGCTTGGCGAAGCCTTCACTCATTAGATTCAGAATTTCTGCACGTGAGATGGATCGCCACACGCCCGCTATGTTGTAACCCGGAGGTCACGAATGTCACTGCAGTCACAAAAATCTTCAAATTAGCTGTTGCAGCTCCTAGCATGCTACGCACTCAACTCCAGCCTCCCCTATAAAATCCCAACGATGATCTCTGTAATTAAGGAAGCACATGACCTGTAATGATGTCGGGCAGTGTGTCTATTGTTGGAATGTTCCATACGTCAGAAATGTGAATAAAGGAAATCTTTTTTTAAAGTGGCTGTTGCAACACGTCAGATTAGGCACTTCCTTTGTTTATTTTCAAACATGCCACACGTTCGTAGGAGAGCGAACCACTTTACTCCGTGACCTTTCTGTGAATCATTATTATTAGTTTTTCCCCAGCACCACTGCCGTGAATTAAAAAAAATACTTCGTGACAAATTCGTGGTCCCCTAATGATCACGAGCGAAATGGCACGGTTGTCAAAAAAAAAAAAATGCAACGGCCTCACCTGACAGGGTCCACGCCGCAGCCAAACCTTCTTGCCGGGGCTCCCCGACGCGCGGTTCTTCTTGCTGGCCACGGCCGACGGGTCGCTCTCCGAGCGGGACCGTCGCGGCCTGCGGTGGCCCCCGCTCGACTCGCTGGGGCTGCCCCGTCCGGGCGTCGTGGGGTCCTCGTCGTTGCCTCGCCTCGCGGCCGCCGCCGACGGGCGGCTCGCCGTTTCGCCGCCGTTGTCGTTGGCGGCGGCGGTCGCCGCGGCGGCGGCGGCGGCGGCGGCGGCGTTGTCTTCGGAAGAAGAGCCGGTCTCCGAGTCGCCAAACTGCAGGCTGGAGGACGGGGACAGCGAGCCCGAGTCGCAGCCCGCGTCGCTCTCGCCAGCGCCACGGACGTCGTCGGTGGCCTGCGGAGACATCGGCGACGCGCCTCACGTCAGGGTGGCACTCGCGAGGGGGAAAGGAGCTCCTATCGCAACCCCACTCGAATCACACGATGACTGCACGCCCAACGGAATACGCAACCTCACACCGACCTAAACACAAGTCGTTCCTGTTGTGGTAGTAGTGGGTTTATTCTCTTGTACCGTAGTAGATGTTTGGATTGTGGTAGCTGAGAACGTTATTGCGTCAGTTGGTGTCTTGTGCGAGGTTGTGCGTTATCTTCTATCGCTCAACAACTATCCTGCTGACATCCTGACTTGTCTTCAAACTATAACCTCGCTCTTGCCAACCGCATCCGATTCTCGCCACAACACAGAATTTAATTCCTATCAAAAACTTACAAACTAACTCAAATCACGAGAAACTCCCACCGCAATAATGTAAACTCATACCCTAACACAACCCCATTCAAATCACAACACACGACCTCTCTCTTTTGCAAACATAACCGCACCCCAAGCTTGGAGGACATCTCCGACTCACACCGCAACAGGCAAATCCAACTTCTACAACACACACCGCCCCCACCGGAAAGCAAGCACAACAACCACACACACACCACAATAAGAATCAAAGCACGAAACTTCTCTGCCATCAAGGGCGATCACACGGCTCAGTGACAGCGTGTTCACCGCTTACGGCAGAGGTTCGCAGATGGAAAACCAGAAGGTCGCCCTGGTAATTACTCCAGGTGAAAAAAACGTGAAATACGTGCTCTCTGCTGCACAGTGGACGTAGAGATCCCCTGACGTCATTCGGAACGAGTGGGCTATTGTGTGCTGGTGTCGTGGTTCTAATTTAGCAAGTTAAAAAAATGGCCCGCAAATTACTCCATTATAAATTACACAATCACCACCCGATTGCAGGCCAGGTGGTATACCACTTTGTGCGCACAGGGACAGTTGCAAAAAGAGGGTGTGCAATGAAATGTTTGAGATGATACAAGTGATGGCATGCAAAGCGCTCCGAGACGTCCCAGGGTAAATGGCGCTGTAAAAAAAAACATTACCACAACGCACCCGACTCCTCACGCAGCATTACTCGAGCACAACAAATAAATCTAGTTATCAGATAAAACACCATATAAGGCCTACCATCACACAACCCCGCTTCTACCTCAACGTACAACCTCGCTCAGTGGGCCCTGGTGCTCGGAAATAAATCGGGGCCTTCTTTGAGCAAATTCCACCCTGATCGTAGCCCGGTCTCCCCCTAGGCTCCTGCAGCATGTGGGCCAAGTTGCAGTCGCATCATGTGCACACTCAACAGGTACACCAGTGAGCCCCCTCCCCAATCTAACCAGAACGCACGCCCGCTCCTACCACCGTTACACCACACGGCTTAATCACCTTCGGCTCTACGAGGTACGTTGGCTCTGCGTGGCCCCGCGCTCACCTGCGCTACGGACGACGGGAGCGACTCCTCCTGGCTGACCTCCATGTCGGATCCAGCCGGCAGAGGCGGCACCGCGTGCTGGCTGTTGGCAAGCGCGCCCTGCCGCTTGGGCGCCGCGTCGACGCTGCAGGCGGGCACCTCGGCCGCTTCGGCTGTGGCGCCGTCACCACGCTCCGCCCACGGCTTCTGTCCTCGGCCGCTGGCGACGCTAGCGGTGTCGGGCTGGCAGCCGGGCTCCATGCTCCCTCCTCTCTCCTCCTCCCCTTCCTCCCTCCGCAGGATAGCGGGGGTCACCACGTGAGCCCTTCCTTCTTCCGCCGAGACCTCGGTGAACCCTTGAGATAGAGAGAAAGCTGCAGACAGGCGACACGGCCAATCCACAACGCTGAATCGAGGAGAAATGATAGCTGGAGGCGACATCTATTTTTAAAAGCGGCTATTACCTCTGTGTATCGATTGCACGATTGTAAACAGCATGCCGAGGTCAACCGTAACAATGACTTTAAACTTGCGTGGCTCAGGGGGGGAAAAAAAATAAATCGGATTTAATGGTGCCGCCTCTATTCAGTGAAACCATCAGTGAGCACACACCACAAAGGCAAAGTGTGCTGCAGACTCGTAACATTCCATTGCACATGCCTCCCTTTCCGGGCCACTGCGTCCTGCATGTACACAGATGCATTCCTCCGAAGACATTAGCTGCATGTGCAAGAGCTGACTCGGGACACGGGCGATGATTTCAAACTCAAAATGCATTTTCACAACAGCAGCAACTGGATCTGCACACACCACACGCGGAGGTGCAGCCACACCGGGGCGATGCTCCAATGGGAGGCTGCCTGGCGGTGGGGCGTGTCCTACATGGACAGTTCCCAGACCTGAAAGGTTAGAGTTAAAGTTTGGGTAAGGGTTGTTGGTGTTGTTGTTTCCTTAAGACTATTGAGTGTTACTGAAATGAAAACAATAAAACGGTAACTAACCTTGGAAACCTGTTCCTGTATTTCACTGTGGTGGTCAATCAACAGCACACAAAGATGACGGTTTTGAACAATACTAAATTATTTCGTAATTATCGATGTAATGATTCTCACCCCACAGCGATTCCATTAATTTTCATGATTTGGGGTCGTGATTTGCTGCAACAATCAACGATTTCACATCTTGTTTCTACGGTCTCATTTGCACCGCTTCTCTTTTTTAAGGTCTTATTCTATAGTTTTGTTCGCACAATTAGCAAATCGTCCACAATAAAATACACATATTGCATGTATGTTGAACTTCTTCCGTACCGTAGTACGTAGCCAACTGTGCTAATTGGAGGTCCTGGGGAAGGACAAGTAAAATTTCTGATGAATCGATTCTCACACGAGATACGGTGTGTCACGAGCTCAAAATCGATTTTCACCAACGCAATGCAGTGGTACATGCTAATTGTGAATCAACGGTTTGAAACCTTAGCTTCTTAGGGTTCCATGTACAGGATAAGGAAGGCTCGCGCAGACAAACCAAGGGTACAGCACAGAGAGGGGAGGGCCCTACACAATCACACATCCTGGGACTTGGCATGCCTCCCTGCGAGTCAATTACAGTGACGGGAAAAAAGGTATTTGATCCCCTGCTGACTTTGTACGTTTGCCCACCGACAAGGAAATTATCAGACTATAATTTTAATGGTAGGTTTATTTGAACAGTGAGAGACAGAATGATGACAAAAAAATTCCAGAAAAACGCATGTCAAAAATGTTATAAATTGATTTGCATTTTAATGAGGGAAATAAGTATTTGACCCCTCTGCAAAAGATGACTTAGTACTTGGTGGCAAAACCCTTGTTGGCAATCACAGAGGTCAGACGTTTCTTGTAGTTGGCCACCAGGTTTGCACACATCTCAGGAGGGATTTTGTCCCACTCCTCTTTGCAGATCTTCTCCAAGTCATTAAGGTTTCGAGGCTGACGTTTGGCAACTCGAACCTTCAGCTCCCTCCACATATTTTCTATGGGATTAAGGTGTGGAGACTGGCTAGGCCACTCCAGGACCTTAATGTGCTTCTTCTTGAGCCACTCCTTTGTTGCCTTGGCCGTGTGTTTTGGGTCATTGTCATGCTGGAATACCCATCCATGACCCATTTTCAATGCCCTGGCTGAGGGAAGGAGGTTCTCACCCAAGATTTGACGGTACATGGCCCCGTCCATCGTCCCTTTGATGCGATGAAGTTGTCCTGTTCCCTTAGCAGAAAAACACCCCCAAAGCATAATGTTTCCACCTCCATGTTTGACGGTGGGGATGGTGTTCTTGGGGTCATAGGCATTCCTCCTCCAAACACGGCAAGTTGAGATGATGCCAAAGAGCTCCATTTTGGTCTCATCTGACCACAACACTTTCACCCAGTTGTCCTCTGAATCATTCAGATGTTCATTGGCAAACTTCAGACGGGCATGTATATGTACTTTCTTGAGCAGGGGGACCTTGCGGGCGCTGCAGGATTTCAGTCCTTCACGGCGTAGTGTTACCAATTGTTTTCTTGGTGACTATGGTCCCAGCTGCCTTGAGATCATTGACAAGATCCTCCCGTGTAGTTCTGGGCTGATTCCTCACCGTTCTCATGATCATTGCAACTCCACGAGGTGAGATCTTGCATGGAGCCCCAGGCCGAGGGAGATTGACAGTTATTTTGTGTTTCTTCCATGTGCGAATAATCGCACCAACTGTTGTCACCTTCTCACCAAGCTGCTTGGCAATGGTCTTGTAGCCCATTCCAGCCTTGTGTAGGTCTACAATCTTGTCCCTGACATCCTTGGAGAGCTCTTTGGTCTTGGTCATGGTGGAGAGTTTGGAATCTGATTGATTGCTTCTGTGGACAGGTGTCTTTTATACAGGTAACAAGCTGAGATTAGGAGTACTCCCTTTAAGAGTGTGCTCCTAATGTCAGCTCGTTACCTGTATAAAAGGCACCTGGGAGCCAGAAATCTGATTGAGAGAGGGTCAAATACTTATTTCCCTCATTAAAATGCAAATCAATTTATAACATTTTTGACATGCGTTTTTCTGGATTTTGTTGTTGTTTTTCTGTCTCTCACTGTTCAAATAAACCTACCATTAAAATTATAGACTGATCATTTCTTTGTCAGTGGGCAAATGTACAAAATCAGCAGGGGATCAAATACTTTTTTCCCTCACTGTATATCCACGAGGCGCGTAAAGCTTTCCGAGTCTTCTATCTGCAACTCCTGCTCAGCAGCCTAGGGGCAGGCCCCATCCATTCTGCTCCCCATGCATCGCGCCCGCCACCCCGCACACTCCAAGTGACATCACGCACACGGTAATCTCGCGGAATCAGATTGCACAAATTAATGAGTCCAGCATCGGGGTTGGAATCAAATTTCACACCAACGGGTCAAGCACAGCGAGATCCCATTGCAGGTCAACAAAGCTGGCCCAGGACCTTACTGCGTGGGTTAAAATTAAATTACAGATTGTACTTTTCAGGGTTTTATTGCTAGGGGTAAGCGATTAACTTGCGAGAGTTCGGAGTCAGAGAAAAACTTAGGCCTGCAAGGATTAGGGGTGAGGTTAGACGTTAGGATATGATTTAAAGGTTATATATGTTTTAGATCATGGTAAAATGGGAAAAAAGAGCTTAGCGTGTGAGGGTTAAAGGTTAGGGCTAACGTAAGGACTAGCTTGTTAGGGTCAGGTGGTTACGGTAAGGCCTAGCATTTTTTAGTTAGGGGTTAGTGTAAAGGTTAGCCTTGTTAGGGGTAAGGGTTAGGTTTTTTTAGTTAGTTGGTTTGGGTAAATGCTAGGCTTTAAGGGTTGGGAAAACCTTGTTATACTTCGTATAGGGGTTAGGCTTGATAGTCTTAAGAGGTCGGTCATAGGCGAATAGGGCAATGGTTAAGTTGTTAGGATATCATCATGCGATCAGGTTCCACTGATCTTTCTGTGATACTTCACTACCAAGGGCTCGGAATCCAAATTACTTAACCTGAGACTATAACTATATTGTCCTGGCATTCAAATATGGACCTGATAAGGGCTCGGGACAGTGGACAAATCACAGCTTTGATACATAAACTCAAAACGCCCAAGACAAATCGCCCTCCTCAACAGCAGCAGTAGGCATGGGCCTGGCCTCGGGTTAAGGGAAAATGCTCAGATAAAATCCCAAATCCACTGCGGAGGTGGAGGAATGGTGGGGAATACATGGGAGCTCTGCACAACAAGACAACAGAAACCTGCATGCCTCCCCACATTAACTTGTGTTGCCAGGGTTGCTTTGTGCTTAGGAAGCCCTGGGATTTGAAGCAGAACCTTGTGCAGAGGCAAGCCCAGATTACATTACAAACCAGATCCCAATCCAACCTAAGCAACAACTCATACGACAACCGTAACATGGACAAAAATTCAGACCCCATCTCAGACCCAGACTTCAATCTAAATCCAACCCAATTCAGACTCAACCTCCAATTCTAAACCTGGCCATAGACCAGACTCAACCTCCAATTCTAAACCTGGCCATTGACCAGACTCAAATTCCAATTCTAAACCTGGCCATGAACCAGACTCAACCTCCAATTCTAAACCTGGCCATAGACCAGACTCAACCTCCAATTCTAAACCTGGCCAAAAACCAGACTCAATCTCCAATTCTAAACCTGGCCATAGACCAGACTTAACTTCCAATTCTAAATCTGGCCATAAACCAGACTCAACCTCCAATTCTAAACCTGGCCATAGACCAGACTCAACCTCCAATTCTAAACCTGGCCATAAACCAGACTCAACCTCCAATTCTAAACCTGGCCATAGACCAGACTCAACCTCCAATTCTAAACCTGGCCATAGACCAGACCCAACCTCCAATTCTAAACCTGGCCATAGACCAGACCCAACCTGTAATTCTAAACCTGGCCATATACCAGACTCAACCTCCAATTCTAAACCTGGCCATAAACCAGACTCAACCTCCAATTCTAAACCTGGCCATAGACCAGACTCAACCTCCAATTCTAAACCTGGCCATAGACCAGACCCAACCTCCAATTCTAAACCTGGCCATAGACCAGACTCAACCTCAAATTCTAAGCCTGTAAATAAACCAGACTCAACCTCCAATTCTAAACCTGGAAATAAAACAGCCCTCAATATCAATCGAGAGATGAACCCTGACTCATCCTTTAACCTCGTCCCCTGCCCCAAACCAGACCCCAATCACTGCACCAACTGTAACCTCAACCCCGATGCCAACTCCGGCCCAGATTTCAAACCAAAACCTGGACCCATCCCTACCCATACTTAAATTCAGACCCCCAACCCACTCGTATCACTTTCCGAATGGCACATCAAGAGCCGTGCCAGCGTGGTGTCCCCGCGGTGCAGGCGGTTTTCCACTGGCCATTCCGAGACGAACCAATACGAAATAATTTAAATCTGGTCTAACAAAACATCTCAAACTGGCTCCGGGCCAAGCAGGGCCAGAGATGGGGTCATTTATTTTCACCATACGTTGCGTCAGTCAGTACATTTTAGGAAGGTTAACGTTATTCATCGCACGATAGGTCGGCCGGTCAGAAACCCCGTGAGGACAGCGTCAGCGCATTCACGACAAGCGTGTGACGTCAACAGCACGGTTCGCATTCTGCAGTGGTAACAAAAAAAAACAACCAACAACAGCAACCTGGAGACTTCAACACAGAATTGAAAATAACCAACACCGAAACGAACCCTCACACCGGCCCCGGCCCGCGATGACGCCGCCAGTGATGATGATGATGACTCAGGCTGACGATGTGCGACTCTCAAGAGGCGTGGAGGGCGGCCCTCTTCACGCGGGGGGGGGGGGGGGGAGGAGCCCCCCTCACTTCGCCAGAGTCGCTGCTGCCACTTTCCCGAGGCGTCGGCTACCACCCAGGGTCGGCTACCACCCAGGTCCCCCTTAGCTTGGGTCCCCCTTAGCTCGGGTCCCCCTTAGCTTGGGTCCCCCTTGGCTTGGGTCCCCCTTGGCTCGGGTTCCCCTTGGCTTGGGTCCCCCTTGGCTTGGGTCCCCTCAGACTCGCCCACCTCGCTATCCTTTGTCTAGGTTCCCTCTATCCCCTTCACACGAGTTCCAAATCCACTCTCTCCTTCTTCCCCGGGGTAGCATGTACCTGGGTCCAGGAGCCCCTTTGATCCCCTTCACTTGAGGCCATCGTCTCCTCGGCCCCCTCGACGGGGGTTTCTCTCTTGCCTGGGTCCCTAGGCCCCGCTCACTTTTGTCCCAGGTCCCCTCCTCTAGCCCCCTTGCCAGGGTTCCCGGGACCCCCTTTTCTGGCTCTCATGTCCCTTCGCTCGACTCGTCCCTGGTCATATATTCGGGGGACCCATTTTACCTGGGTCCCAGGTCCCCTTTTCACGGCTCTTCTTCACCCGTGCCTCTTTAACCAGGCTCCCAGGTCCACTTCAACCCGGGTCCCCCCTTTACCTCGATCCCAAGTTCCCTCGGACCCCTTCACCCGGGTCCCCTTTAACCAGGGGTCCCTGTGTCCCGGGCTCCTTTCAACCTGAAAACCAGGTCCCCTTCACTCAGGCCGCTCAGTAACCTGCCTCGGTCGCAGGTCCCCTCCACCGGGGGTCCCCTTTCCCTGGGTCCCACCAGATCCCCTCGGTCCCCCACCACCCGGGTCCCCCAACATGACTTGGGAGTTCCTGTTGCCCCGGGGGCACCCCTTCAACCTGGGGTTACCAGGGTCCCCTTTACCTGAGCCCCAGGGTCCCCTTCGCTGCCCCTCGCTCGAGTCGCAGGTCCACCGCTGCCCGAGGCGTGCGGGCCCCGCCGCTGCGTTCACGTTGCCTACAGCGCATGCGCGCCGCGCTGCCCCCATCCCCATTGGTCGAGAGCCCCGCGTCGGGGGGAGGGGCGGCCAGCCACGCTTTGACCAATGGAAGACGAGCGACCGCCCCAGTGCGGTCTACGAAATGTAGACTCGCGGGCCCCCAACCCTCTCCCACCCAACCCACCGCGCGCGCGCGATTTGTATTTCCCAGAGCGGTTCGGTGCGCGCGTTTTGTGTCGACGGACGCGATTGGTCGGGTTGTGGCGGGAAGCGGACCAATGGTGGAGGTGGGATAGCAGGGGTAGGGGGGGTGAGGTGGTCGCGCGCCTACGTCAGGTGACGCGCCTCGCGAGCCAATGGGGTTGCTCGCGCAGCCGGCAAGGTCCTCGCTCCGTCACGGGCGTCAAGCGTGGGCGTGCAATGAGAATCAATACTGCTGCTGTTGGAGGAGGAATCCGATGAGCCGTGAAGCTCTTTATCACAGATGTCCGGGGGGGGGGGGGGGGGGAAATAAAAACGTTCCAGAAAATAGAGAAAAAAACACGTAGGCTTTCGTGACCAATATCGTCCATAATACGTTTTTTTGTGTCGTTAAACCCGCCACCACCCGACACGGCCAATTCGTCACTATTACAGCACACCGGTGTGTTGGATAGTAACGAATTGTCACGTTTTGTTTACGCGACAAAACTCTACAAAAAAACTATAATGAATACAAAAAACACGATAGTACAGAGTACAGGAAAGGCAAACAAATCACCCAAAAGCCCCCCGAATAAAACTAAGGGGCCATCCATAAATGACGTCACGCGATTTTCGACGATTTTTGACCCCCCCCCCTCGTCACACGGCGTCACAAAAAGTCAGACCCCCTCTCAAATATGACGTCACAAAGCTCTGCCCCCCCCCCAAAACCATATTTCCATTTTTTTTTTAAACATGCTTCAAATCGCTTTAAACTATTGTCGTAGTGCGTATTTAATGTGGCGCTACACTCTGATGTTGTAGGAGAAAAGATTTATTAAAAAGTCTATTTCATTAAGTAGAATGTGCTGTCTATATTTATTTAAAATTGCGCATTTTTACGTGACGTCACATTTCTCACACCCCCCCCCCCGTCACACATCGTCACAAATGTCTAACCCCCCCCCCCAGGTGCGTGACGTCATTTATGGCCAGCCCCTAAACCATCCCCATACCACGAGCCAAAGCCCACATGTATATTTTTTTACATTTTTTCCACAATCGACCTGGCCACAAATTATAACAAAAAAAGTGGTTTATCATGCAGAAATGTATGGCAGCAAAATCATCTCAATGCATTTTGATCTAAACCGTGGAGGGGAAAACCCGGAGGACACGGAGAAAAAATAAATATATATCCGAGCGACCACGGGGAGAGAGGCACCGCAAGCAGCCAGGCGTCGTCAGGGGTCGGGGTCGAACCCACGTGCAGGGTCCTCGTGGCCGGGTCGCTGGTGAAGCGAGGATCTCAGTGCGCGCCCTGAGCTGGGAAAATACAAAAACACAGTTTAACACTTAGTGGGCTTTCGCGACCAATATTATTCATGATAAACGTTTTTGGGTTAGAGTGCGTTATTTATAAATGTGTCGTAACCCTCCGCCACCCGACACTGCCAATCAGTAAAAAAAAAGTGTCACGTTGACAAAAGACAAATAGTTCACTACTTTACTGATTGGCCGTGTCGGGTGGTGGAGGGTTACAACACATTTATAAATAACGCGATCTAACACAAAAACGTTTATTGTGAAAACAAAGTCTGGTTTTATTTGTGACTTATTTCAAGTTATTTAATTTACCTTTCCTATTCAGTACTTTGCAATCCCATCGTGTTTTTGCATTGCTTGTTGTTTTAACGTTGTGACCCCGTGCCCCTTACTGGAACACCTGTGACAAAAGAGCTTCATAGCTCATCGGATTCCTCCTGCACGATCAATACAGACTGTGACACCGCCAGTTCTGCACGCGCGTGACGTCATCGCGTGTCGGTGACGTCATCGCGCGTTGTGGACGTCATCGTGTGGCTTTCAGTTTCAGTTTAGTTTGGTATAGTCCTGTGAGCCATTCGGCGCTTGAATCGGGTGCAACCACAACAAACAAAAAAACAAAAACACGAACAAGAAAAACATCTTAAAGTGACTTTGCGTGTGACTGTGCAAACAGAAAATCCAGGAAAAAAAAACCATCAAAATATTCCTGAAAAAAGCACCGTACACCACCAACGCTGTGACGTCGCTCTGTAGTTCGGTACACGGGTGAGGGGTGTCTCGGTGGGGGGGGGGGGGGTATCAGGGGGGGTGGTCTCGGGCGAGGGGGGTGTCTCGGTGGTGGGGGGGGGGGGTCCCGGCGGGGGGGGGTCTCTCGGTGGGGGGGGGTGGTTCTCAGGGGGAGGCCTCGGGCGAGGGGAGGTGTCTCGGTAGTGGGGGGGTGCCTCGGGGGGGGGGGGGGTCTCAGGGGAGAGGCTCGGGCGAGGGGGGGGGTCTCGAGAGGGGGGAGGGGGTGTCCCTACGCAAGATGGCCGCGGGGGCCTCCTCCTCCTCCCCCTCCCCGCGTTAGCGTGCAGGAACGCGGCTGTTGCGTGCCGGCACGGGGTTGTGACAAAGCCGCTGCTCTTTGTTTCCACTTCCATTACAAACGCTGAAGCAGAAGCGGCACACTCGAGGCGGAAGCGAGATCCCTTGAAGGCACCAGTAGGGCTGAAAGATTAATCGATTTCAAATCGAAATCGCAATTTGAAACAATGCGGTATTTGAAAAGTCATATTAATTTCTTATTGGGATTGTTTGATTTTGTATTAATAGAACTTTATTTATTTAACTTCACAATTGTTCTATGTTTTATTGTTTTATTTCAATTATTTTTTTAAAAGAAATACATGTTGGAAGCAATGCATATCTATCAAGTTCTCATCCTTGCATTAGAATATATAGAGCAGTTCATATTTTGATGGTATGTGGTAATGCTCCATCACATGTTTTAAATCTATTACACAGTGAATATTGAACTGAAGCTTGAATTAACATTTTTTAATCGCAAATCAAATCGCAATTAGATATTTTCCCCAAATCGTCCAGCGCTCGTCACCAGTGGCCACTTTCTTCAATGCAAGTGACGTTCATCACGAAGGTAATCCACTCTGCCGCTCGTGACGCCGTTAATTGCTCGCTTGACCACCTGAATGTGAAACACATTCCTGCGGAGGGAGCTGGTAGGAACGTTGGGTTGCTCGGTCAATGGCCAGGGTCAACAACGGCGGCACCACGTGGTGTGTTCAGCAAATATGCCCGACTGTGAGGGCGGGCACAAGCCGGCGTGAGTAGGTTAAACGTTGAGTTTTATAAGGGCACCACGGGGTGACCAGCCCCTCCCCACCCAGCCCCACCCCTCCCACCCCCCACCCAGCCCCACCCCTCCCACCCCCCACCCAGCCCCACCCCTCCCCACTCAGCCCCACCCCTCCCACCCCCCACCCAGCCCCTCCCCACCCTCCCCACCCAGCCCCTCCCCACCCTCCCCACCCAGCCCCTCTACACGCAGCCCCACCCCTCCCACCCCCCACCCAGCCCCACCCTCCCCACCCTCCCCACCCAGCCCCTCTCCATCCTCCCCACCCCACCCAGCCCCTCCCCACCCAGCCCCTCCCCTCTGCACCCAGCCCCACCCCTCCCATTTTTGGATGCACGACGGACGGACACAATAATCCCCTGTGGGCTGCTGGTGTAACCAGGAGGTTCCTACCAGTAATTGCTGTTGTTTCTCTGCATCTACATCAGCCATACAAAAGATCACCGTTTTCATTCGTCGGTCATGATCCATTGCATCCGCATGCTCTTCTGCCCACGTGTCTCCAATGTGCTATCTAATGCACGTGTTCCGTTCCGCCTGTGTAATCGCAAGTGTCTTCTCCACGCTTGTTTGCACGCTTTTTGACTTGTTCGATGTCTCTTTTATCAGTGTCTACGTTTCTGATCTGCATGTCATAGGCGGTACACTGTGATTTTCACTGAAACCATCCTTAGAGGCAGGCACTTTTGTAGATTGCTTTTTGAATAAAAATTACCACCACTTCATTGTGCCCTTGGCACACCGAGATCAGAATCTGCTGCCCGTTGCAACAATGGCATCACCATTACAATATATGTATTTAAAAAAACTTTTAAAAACACGCTTTTATGAAACATGAATGTACTGTAGTAATGGAAGAACTCCACGACTCTAGGAAGTGGCCCCGAAGTTTGCCATAACGTAAGGGACCGTGGGCAATTACAGCCAACGTGAGTTGACCGTGGACAATTAGACCCAAGCCGAAACATAACATAATTTTTTTTATGATATAATATAGTATTGTCATCAGTATGACATAAGTATACCAAGTCGATGCCATATTGGCAAGTGGGTTAAAATTGAGTTACAATATTTGAGGATACAAGTGAAGTTAAATAAAAGCGTGTAGAAAATAATCCGACTTGTCTCCTTACCACACCTTACGATTAGGACTTTCTTAACACACACATCACCACCGCCCTCATTCATACATGTCAGCTTAAAACTCTGAATGTAGCTTCTCATTCACGACCAGCCTGCACACAGACACCTGGCACACACCCTTACAACTCTATGGCTACCAGCACTAACTCTGCGCGTTTGCTTCACAAGTGTGCGGGCAATTGCTGTTCATCTCTAAATTTACGTTATATTATCCACCATAAACTCACGTTTTACCTGTTATATAAATAAAATATCCCTTTACCTCACACCCTACCATCCAGCTTAGCAAAACGAAAACGTTTGATCTCACCTCGACCCCAGGTCTCTCCTCTTTACTTGAACAATGTTGACAATTAGCAAATTAACTTTATGAAAAGACTCCAGTTCCAGCGTGCACCTCCTAATCTCTAACCTTACACTGTTAAAGAGTATCGGACACCGTGAAGTTGCGAGTTAATCTTTACTCCCCCCCCCCCCAACATGACTCAACTCTGCAGGACCTCGGTACCTCCATCTGTGCCACACCTGCAATAAAGATGTCCTTACCCCCACTACCGACTCCCCCCCCCTGCCCCAACATGGCTCAACTCTGCAGGACCTCGGTACCTCCATCTGTGC